CCTCATTGGTAAAATGAAGGTATCTTTGCAGTGTTTGTAAATATAACATCTCTTTTTTTTGGGGCTTCCGTCTTACTATTCATAATATTTTGCATTTCAATATCTAATCGAGATAAACTACTATTAACCTTATTTTCTTGTTTTAATTTTTCAATCAATCCAGGTTCGATAAGTATCATTTTCTTTGCATTTTCCATGTTAACTGACTAGTCTACTTACTAATCCACTCAATATTGCACCTAATATTATTGGTAAGAAAGCCCCTCCTTTTTGTATAATTATATTTTTTCTTAGTTTATGTTTACACTTACGCACTAGTATACGGAGTATATTTTTGTATTTATTCAATTTTTGTTTATCTTGATCTTTAAGAGGTACTTTTCCTTGTAAAACGTTATGATTACACTCACAAATACAGTTAATTTCTTCTTCATCACACGTTTTAAGTAATGCTCTTTGATATTGTTTTAAACGTATGCAAAGCGTTTAGCAAATGTTTATGCGTTGTGAGTCGACGATGCATCATTTAGCAATAATTTTAATTGTTTGATTCTTGGTGTATTTAAACTCTTTTATGGGGAAGTATACTGTACAGAAACCATTAAATGGGAAGACATTTGTCTTGATTCGACAAAAACCATTGGTATCCTGTTTTAAATCTACCATTAAATATCCATGCGCCTCTAGAGTTGCATCCCTGTAGGCATCTTCAATGAATTTTGGGTTATCTGGTGACACTTGTCGTGCTAAATATCTTATTTGAGTTTTATTTCGAGGGTTTTTAAAATATATTATATAACTTGAGTTTTACCCTGATTATATAAATTGTGTGTTAAATAAAATACACTGAGATACCTGTGATGACTACCTTTTGTAAATATATCTACAATTCTTCCATCGGACTCTCTCATTAGATAATCAATAATAACAAGATGTGGGTTTTCACCATCAAACATATTAAGATTTGGAATTCCTTGATGATAGTTAACATTTGGTAAATTATATAAAGTTTGCATTTCATCAAAGCATCATGTGATCACAATTACATATTTCTGTAACTGATTTTATGAAATTTGTTACAAAATTTGACTTCCCACATCCACTTGGTCCTGCCACAATAGCAGTAAACGGATGTATAAAGTGAAACATTACACACGTCTAAAGTTCTAAGGTGTGAAATAAAAAATGAAAGGGAAATCAAACAAAATTTATGATTAATTGAAAATTTTATTTTCAAGCAATAACCACTTGTAAAAAACCCACACTTCGTCACAAGAACAATGTAAAATTTTGTGATTATTTTTTGCAAATATATGATTATTACACATATAATGTTTGTTTAAATTTATGACATTTACCAAATCAGTGTATTTTGAACATTTGTATTCTTCAATATTAAAAATTCTATCATTCGTCGTCAACATTTTTAAAAATCGTTTTTCTGCTGAACCACCTTTGTATGCGATCATTTCGTCTTTGCACAAATTTCTAATGTACCAATTTAATATGGGAATGACGTTCTTTTGTTTGTAAGCACATTTTAATTCTTCGGTCACGTCAAAATATGGAATGCCGTGCACGTGTGTTTCGCAATAACGAACAGTTTTTTTGTCTTTTGGCAACAAATAATTGAAAGGATAACTTGGCCGAAACAAATAATGATCGATAAACGCATAATTTTTATTACATAGTTTTACGTCTAGAATAGCCATTTCTCTACATTGAAAATGTTTATGAGGATATGTAATGTAAAATCCGTCCATGTTGATGATGTATCTAATATTTTTTAGATTTTGTGTCATTTTGAACCAAAAAGTTAAAAGTATTTACACGTGACTAAAAAATATGTTTGTTCCTACAAACTTCACATAACAACGCTTCATTACTTCCCATCATCCCATCTCTTTCTTCTGCTCTTGTCTTCCTGTAATTTAAGTAAACAGAATCACGTTCACTAATGATCAACTAATAACGAAGCATTTTTAACGAATTAAAGAAGTATTTTTTAAATTTTTCACTTTCTGCTATTGTCTTTTTTTTTTTGGCTAGGAAGTGTCCGCCGCGCTGCCTCAATGCGTGTTGGAGAACTTCACATGCCTTCGAAATTTTCTCAGATATGCAGGTTTCTTCACGATGTTTTCCTTCATCGCTGAGCATGTGGTAAATCAGAACTTAAAATTGCAATTAACAATTTAATTGGTGCCGGCGGGGATCGAACCCGGGTCGCGTACTGTGAAATTTACAGCATGCGCTAACCATCAGAGCTACCACGGCTTAATCATATAAACACATAATATTTCAATATAATTTGTTAACACTAAATCATACACACGTAAGAAATTAACAGAAAGAAAAGTAAGTTTGTCAATAGAATAAGCACCTACATCCATGGCCTTTGATGCGTTGAAGTAACACAAATGTATTGATAGATCCACTGCGGTCAAACGACCATACACGAACTCCATGATTGCAGCTGCTCGGTCTTATATAGTACCAGTAAGTAATAATTCTAATCTAAAGAATTTCTGCACTGAAACTGATAGTACGAGTATCTTTATGCACCAACAAGCTTATCTCACATTCTGTTGCTTATCTCAACATTCCTTAGTGTTGCGTCTTGTTCAGTGTATTGATGACTCAAATACGATTTGTATAACACAAAAGAATGCAATTTAATATTTAGAAATCACTATCATTGATCATTCCTATGTTAGCCATTGAGTAGCTTGGTACTGTAATAATCTACTAATAGCAGTAATATCATGGATACACCAGATGTACAACAACAACTGAAAAAGATTCACCCCAGTCTAGAAAATAATGTTTATGCTGCTAGTAGACTGCCCATGTATACCCACGTACCAACGTATATAATATGCAATTTGGAAACAGATGATAAACCAGGGTCACATTGGGTAGCTTTATATATCGATACGAATGACGTCGGTCAATATTTTGATTCATATGGACTGTCACCAGTACGATATCATCTAGAGTTTTAAAAAAGGAATTGTAAAAGATGGAACTGGAATGTTGATAGGATTCAGAATGAGTGGACTTCAGTTTGTGTCGAATATTGATTAATGTATTTGCTATATAAGTTTCATGGATGTTTAATGCATAGTTTTACGAGTATATTTACAGGGAACACATTATACAATGATATTTTAGTGGATGAGAGGTTTCGCTCCTATTTTATAGACAATAAGTAATAAGATTTTGTATTTTGTAAATAAAAATTGTAACAAAATTAGATATTGTGCTTTATTGATGATGCAGATTAGCGTTGTAGATAGGAACAAAGAAGTATAATACAATAGCACTGATAAGCCGACGCATACGCCGAGGAAAAATAGACAATGACGGTATTCAATGAACAATAGATAAATAGATAAGAACAATGGGGCGCTAATGACGGTGGAGGCCCTCACCAGATATCAATTAGATAAGAGTTAATTGATCTGCACATCTCCGGAACCGTGCATCCTACGCAAAAACGGACCGCAGATTGCCAAAACCTTCCTTTTTTTTATGATCGTGAGTCGGCGAACGTTGTACCACTTCTGACTCAGTGAACCAGAATTGGTACTACCTATCTACTATTAAACGATCTTTTATCGAAGCAGCAAATATCAACCGACGGTCGATTTCCCGCCAAAACTCAACTCCCGCATAAAAATTCCCTCCAATACTCCGGACATCAAAGACTTCAGACCATAGATCATTTTATAATATATACTAGATGACCTGTTTTACCGTCTGGAACAAATAGGGTGTAACATGTGGACAGAGTAGAAGCCTATGGCACTGATATTTTACAAAAAATAAAAACAAATATTTTGCATTAAATACCTAAATAAACTAATTAAAATCTATCGAAATTCAAATCATATTCACCCTAGCCTGCGACCCTGCGAAGTGACAAGGTCAAAGATGCCCACTAAATTTATTGCTTTATTGCCGTTCGTAAAGTAGGGTGGATATGATTTGAATTTCGATAGATTTTAATTAAATTATTTATTAGTATATTTGAGACCTTAAAGTCTTGCCGGTCTTTCTTGAAATGTCTTGTTTTGCGCACTGGTGTAGATTCTAACATTCTAATGAACTTTGAACAAGACTAAATTCCGTGCCTAAATTGAATAAAATCTTTATACTGGAATTTAAAAAAAAAATAAATATATATGTATATATATATATATATATATATATATATATATATGTATATATATACATATATATATATATATATATATAATCTGTAAAATACTTTATTCAACTATTACCAATATAATAATAACTATTTTTTGTTGAAATTAATAATAGAAGTTTGATATAAACTTATACAAGTCACTATTTATCGTGCTACTACATAGACGAACTTCTAGACAAAAAAGAACCCCACCATTACCTGTGGCGCTATGAGATTTTTCAAACATTACATAGTATCCAATAATATTCCTGTATAGTCCCGTACAATAGGCCGGAATAAATCACTAATGACTGAATAAAACTAAATTTACGGATTCTATCGCGTTTATTTAACTGATTTTACTTATTTTTAATTCCCGACGTTTCGGGTGCTTTACAGCAACCATGGTCACGGGGGGGGACTGAGATGTTTGACGTCCCAATGTCATTGTTAGCTCGGCTACCTTCAGTTTTTGAATGTTAATTTTTGGTCCGATTTACGCAAAACGAACTTACAGTATCTTGAAGTCTTGCAGTGGTATGCTTGGGTTTGGGTTTAATTTTGTTAATTATAGGATCCCAAGCAGATGGCAGCACCCAACCATCTTCTCTATTGAAATTAGGATGTTTTTTAATTTCAATAGCCTCGCGTATCATCCTTGGTAGGAATCGGTGTTCTTTTGCGAGGATTTGTGGTTTATCAAATCTGATGTAATGGTGGGGACGATCTTGAACATATTCACAGACTGCAGACTTCCCGGAGCGTCGGGAAGTCTGCAGTCAAAAATCATCAATAATGATTGTTGCAGGAGCTAGTCCAGATATGAGCGGGAGAGTGTTATCTTTGCCGACCCTCGGGAAGTTTTGCGAGACGAGGCAGAACGAACCAAAGAACGAGCAGCAGCTGAAGGATATTATACAGGTTGGTACAGGGTGAAACAGTGGCTCAGAGGGAGTGGGTGCAGGGGGGCAGATTTTAAGGTACGGAGTTTTGGGAAAGAAGTTAGCTAGTTTTTTTTTACAACGAAGTAGAGCCATGCTGCAGCTATATTGTGGTTGTAGCACGACGAGAATAAATATAAGGTCATGGGCCACAGCATCCACTTGCGATGACAAGTGGATGCAAGATGGACTGTGTGCTCGTTTGTTAACCTCCACCTATTTACTGAACGCCCGACGATGAAGGAAATATATTGTGAGAAAGCCCGCACCATCAATAACACCACAGCCTATCACAAGTCAACTGCTGACATTGGTCCTGAGCTACTTGAGTCCATCGAGTATCTACGTGTTTAAACAATAATCACTCTACTAGGGGTCGCCCAATACTGAAACTTGATTTTATGAAATATTACAAAATCTTTTCGAGGAAACTTTTTTCACATTAGAACATATATAGCTATATACGACCTGATTGGTCTACACGATCGAGGAAGGACCACGCTTTCACAGAATACCAGTGTGTAATGAACCGGAGATATTCCAGAGGCATTCCATCTTAGTCCTCACGGGTGAATAACGCATCGCCTATTGATTTTTAAAACTGTATAAATGTAGATGTCCATGGACCACAGCATCCACTTACCATCAGTAAGACTGCGTGCTCGTTTGTCACCTTATTCTATAAAAAAATACCTACTTGTTGTTCCCAATAGCGACACGAACCAGATCCAATGTTAAGAGCCGAGAGCTGCTTGTCCTTCGAAGGCTTCGTGCGCTTCCTCACCGACAAGGATAACTACGCGTTCGTCCCGGAACAGAGGAGGCAGCAAGTCAACAGCTTCGTTGGGTAAGTCGGTTCAGTTCCTATTGGATATTCTGTGATATATCTATGTAATATATGCAACTACGAAAGCTAAGAAACTTTATTGACGTGAAACATCGATTGGCACGCTTTCGCAGTAAAACCGACTCGTATGCCGCGACGCTCTTTGCTCTAGAACCCAAATCACTGACATCTCCCGTAAATCTAAACTGGGACTGGGCCGGTCATGTATGCCGTATGTCAGAAGAACTTTGGGCCAAAATTACAACTCGGTGGACTCCTTTAAATGTCAGAAGACCCCGAGGCAGACCCAGAAAACGATGGCGGGATGAACTGGACTCCTTCATGGAAGACTGGTCTTCCATAGCACAGAAAAGTGGAATACCACCAAGAAAGGTGGAAAAGGGTGGGGAGGCCGTTGCCCAGCAGGGGGACGTTATGGGTTGATTAGATAAGATAAATGCCGTGACGGTTAATGGCATGACGCCCCCTTATACCGTCATGCCTCCTCTACGCCACCGCTCTCGACTTCCTTGTGTATGCGTGTACATACCCTATACACTTGGTTTTGATGTGAATTCTTTAAATTTGCTTCCATAGTGGGAGGAAACTATTATAACAAAGTAAACTGATTATAACAAAATCGCCGAATACAGTTTAGAGTTGCAACTAAATATCTATCATCTACATTAGACATGTCGATCTGAGATTGATCAATCGTAGAATCGATTTCTTGCGCCTAAAATATCGATTTTCAAATCGATATATAGTACTGAATCACCCTCCCGAGATCGAATCATTTTCTATTTTTATAAGAACTATAACATTATTTACAATTAGTTGAATGTACCCAAACTCGTAAAGAATGACAGTTTTTCTATTCAAAAATTCGCAAAACCACTGTGTGCTCAGTTTCTTTCATCTCTTCGTAATGGATTAAAGAAATAAAAAAATAAGTTACTTTTATAGTCTGTACTTTGTTGTATCTTTTGATGCTGTAAATATAAACACTGAACGCAAATTTAAAACAGATCGATTTTTGAGAAATCGATCTTTTAGACCTCGATTCTTTGTGAATCGATTCCTCTGATTTCGATCGAATCGATTTAAAAATCGATCTTTTTCGGAGAGATTCGATATCCCTAATCTACATTCAAAATTTAATTACACCACTCGATAGCTCGAATTCGTAACGTTGAGTGAATACTGTGACGCTATTTGAAGTCGTTTCGTTACGTTCTCGTTTTCACGTAAACGGCTTTTAATTTCTTTATTTTAGTCCACATTTCTTTATTGCGTGGATTAGAACTTTCATCCACGCTCTCGCAGAATACCAGCATAAAATAGTAGCATAATGCTGATGTGGTTCGCAAAACCGGACACCCTTTTAACTGGATTCCATTTTAGTCATCATGGGTGTTAACGCATCTACAACATGTAGATGTAGACGGCTATGGGCCACAGCATCCACTTACGGTCAGGTGTAATGGTGCTCGTTTGTCACCCGTAAGCTAGCCACGTACATTCAGAATTCCGTTTCGAAATTTAATGGTTAAAGATATTTTATTCTCAAAAGAAATATACATTTCACTCAATGAGAAGTTACAATATTCAAATTATAAATGGGTTAGGAGCATACAGATTGCAAAAAATATGTATAAACATTAAAATGGAAGGAAAGAGTTTCGTGACATACAATTTCTTTGAAATTCGCACACATACAATTATTACATTTATTTTACCTTCGGAATAACAAGACTCAGTTGAAAGACGCTAGGCAGTCCAGACATTCTGACAGCGAATATGGACAATTTTCTGATTGCGATTGCAATGTTGTTATATTATTGTTACTGGGTGCATTCCCTTAACACCCTAAGATTCCAAGATAATCAATATTATGTAAAAAGGCTAAATTACGAGCCTATCCAGAGAATTTTTTAAATCCTATCGGATGTCTATAAAATTTTTCGACGAATTATTAAACAAAATAAGATGAAATATTATGAAAAGATAAACATATACCTAAGATTACATATAAAAACATACATAAACACACGTACTAGCTTCGGTGGTGCGACACACACTGGGTGCTTTCCGTACGGAATTAACGAATGTGATGACGATGTGATGCGTCTCATACAAAATCTATGGAAGACTTGTATTCCGAACAGCTTTTTTCCGTGCGGGATTCCGGCCGCACAGTCAATCATGCGGAATTTCGAATCACGGAAAACTACTGTACGTGTGTGATAGGTTCTTGATTTTATATGAATTTGCTGCGTTCCGAATACCGAATCGATATTCCAAAACGGTTTTTCGAAACAGAACTCCGACTGTATGTGGCTGGCCTTATTCTGTACAAAAAGAGTTTGACTGTTGAAATCTCTTTGACATTTTTGTAACAGTACCTACTAATTTTAACTTTTTGTTTTTTAGTTTATTGACCGTGTAGTGGCGGTGTAAGAATATCCACTATCCCATATCATCCCGTAAGTGTCGTAAGAGGCGACAGAGGGGAACAGGCAGGAGATGGGCAGCAGCGTCTTCCCAATAACGTAATAAAAATTAGAGATGGGCCGAATATAGATTTCACCGAATACATAATTTGTTCCATAGGGAGGAAACAAAAAACTATAACAAAATCGCCGAATACAGATCTACCACTTTCGATTTTCGAATCGATATATAGTACTGAATCACCCTCCGAAAATATTCGGCCGAAAGTTCGGTAAAACTTTTACCGAACCGAATATTCACCTGAACATTATTCGGGAGGGTCACGTCGATATCTAACTAATATATGTCGAAACTTGTTGCCGTAAAGCGCGCGGGAATAGTGCCGGACCCTGCCCCTCGCTCCCCGCCACACCTGACATGTTATTTGTTGCATAGCTACAGTCCTCGCGGCGTAAGCTGAGCTTTACATTTGTGTGAGTGTACAGTGGGATACGGCTTGAGGCGCAGCGCGTCCCGCGCATGGTTTAAACCAGTTTATACTGGTTTTTAAAACACGGCCTGAGGCGCGGTGCATTCTCCACGCGTCGCTTCCCTGCCGCGCACATTCCCCACTTCACCTCTGGTACCGGTAGCAGATAGACGTGTAATTTTTTGTGGTTGTGTTCGATTTTTTTGTGAAATTGCTCCTACTGTAAGTAAATTGACTAAACGACCATTAAGCAGCCAAACAAAAGAAATTTTATACAAATTGAATACGTATTTCAAAGATTTAAACGACAAGGATATGTCAAGTGTCGTTACGTCGGCCCAATTGGTAGTGGACATCGACTGAAATTCCGCTGTCAACTGTAAAAAAGGTATTATTAGAAGGTAAATGTGCTTTGGAAGATGGATTCAAATTTAAATCTCCGAAAAAAACAAGATGCAGGAAAAATATCATTGTGATCGATGATTTTGATAAAGCGGTAATTCGTAGAATACTTCATAACTTTCACATCACCGACAAACAGGTTCCAAATATGAAAATATTACACGAAAAGTTAAAGGCAGAAATAAATTATCCAGGTGCAATTACGTCATTAAGAAAAGAAGTATCTCTATTAGGATTGAAGTGGAAAAGGACAGAAAAAAATCGCAGAATCTTTATGGAGAAACATGAAATACCATATCTTCGAATAATGTTTCTCATTAAAATTGCCGAATATCGCGCTCAGGGCCGCCCAATCGTTTATACTGATGAAACAATATATAGACACGTCTCACACTTCGTCGAAATCTTATTCAGATGGAAGCATCTCTGGTTTAAAGAAACCAATTTCTAAGGGAAATCGGTTAATAATAGTTCATGCCGGCGGAGAGGACGGTTTCATTTACCCAATGCCCTACTCATGTTCAAGGCAAACCAAAAAAGTGGTGACTATCATTATAATATGAACACCGAGTGTTACACAAAATGGTTGCAAACGCAGCTAATTCCAAATTTAAAACCGAATAGTGTTGTAGTAGTTGACAATGCATCATACCACAATTCGTATCAAAATCCCGCGCCCAATTCAAACCAACGTGCTCAAGCTATGATTGATTGGCTCAAATATCGAAATATCGATCACTCTGGATCGATGCTTAAAAAACAAAGCAAGATTTGTTGAATATAAAATTGATAATTTGCTCCAAGAACATGGTCACAGCGTTCTACGCCTACCACCCTGATTTCAATCCTATTGAAAATATAGGGGCAATGGTAAAATTATACGTAGCTAAAAAAAAAACGTGTCAATGAATATGGACACTATAATGAGATTAACAAAGGAAAAAGTTGACGCGATCCCTGTACAAGAGTGGAAAAATGTTTGTGACCCTGCAGTTAAAGAAGAAAAAGCATTTGATGGTCGAGACGCCGCTATCGACAGTTTATCGGAGCGATTCATTATTAACACAGGCTCTGATGAATCATCAGACGAGAGTGAAGATGAAGATGCAATGAGCGGAGAAGAGTTATAATATTGTTATGTAGTTTATTACTGTTATTACTATAATTTAGGATAATCAAAATATCAGCGTTAACTTTTAATAAAACATTGATTTTTTACTAACTGTACTTTTGGCGATCACTCACACAAATGCAAAGCTCAGTTTACGCCGTGAGGACTGTAGTACGGAGCAAATCGCCGGCACACGGAAAAATAGTATTTCGTTCTGATAGAAAGAGTGAGAGTGAAAATTGATAATTATGTGATAAGAATGAGTGGCAGGAGATATGCTATTCGGATTTATTTTAGAGAAACCGACGACCAAAGTATAGTGAAATGAACTAATGTAATGTAATGTCTTTGTTTGATTCGAAAAACATTTTATCGAGCCTTCTATTTGCTATAATTGGAAATAAATCTACAGTGCCTCAAAAACATAACGCTATACAAGTAGATATAACCCATAAATAAAATATACTTTCAACAGTAAAATTATTCATGTAAAGTAAAAGTTATTAAAGTTACAGCCTATATACGTCCCACCGCTGGGCACAGGCCTCCCCTCATTTCTGAGAGGGTTTAGGGCATGGAAGTGTCTCTTCGTTAATTGCGTGTTGTCGAACTTCCCATGTCTTCAAAATATTTTTTTCTTATTCCTCATACATGCAGGTTTTCTCACGATGTTTTCCTTCACGGCCGAGCACGTGGTAAATCAACACTTAAAATTGCAATTAACAATTTCATTGGTGCCGGCGGGGATTGAACCCGGGTTACTCGCATTCTGTTTACATATTTACAGCGAGCGTTAACCAACTGAGCTACCATGGCTCTATATATAAAAGACATGACATTACTCAATTCGTACATTTCAATACAGTGGACACATTGAGTACCTCTTTAACGAATGTTCGGTGATTTAGCCGAATATTCGGCCGAATACGAATATTCGATAAAGCTGTCGAATATGAAACAAATATTCGGCCCATCTCTAATAAAAATAAATATTCTGCGGTTGCCAACCCGATTGCCAAGCGTAGCAGCTATGGCAAATATATTCCCTCAATCAATGGGGGAGGCCTATGTTCCGCAGTGGACTTTAATAGGCTGTAACCGTACCGCTAACGGTTCTTTAGTATTGTCTAAAAGTTTTATTTCTGCCTATAGGAACCCAGCCGCCCAAGAAGACGACGACGGAAACAAAGAGCTCACCCGGCACATGGAAGGTCCCCTCAGCCAATACTACATCGCCAGCAGCCACAACACCTACCTGACCGGACACCAGCTGAAGGGAGAGTCCTCTGTGGAACTCTATAGTCAGGTAAGTGACCATATAAGCATTGATTCTTCTTTTATATTAAAGAAAGAAGAGTTGCACACGAGCTCACAACCCACCTCATGGTAAATGAATTCTGTGGCAAATAGAGGTGTATCTTCAATTAAGAATCATAACTGAACTTTTAATAAAAACTATTAAAACCTTATTTTATGGCGATACTTCGAACAAAACCTTGCGATGGTGCGTTTTTCAGACTATTACCTCATTAGTTATGAGAAATAAACTACATCCAAAAGCACATTATTAATGTTCGGTATCTTATCATCATCACATTCCACGTTCTAATTTGTTTTGTGTTATGAAAACATTTAAAATCAACTTTTAAAAAATTACTAAAATTATTAATTACATGCATCTGTTGCTAAAGGCAACGCTCTAATCATTTGAGGACTACACTAATTAATAGATAATCTAAAAATCTATATTATTCACTTTTTCACATAAGTTCGATTTTCTTTTTTAATTGAAATGATTCCAAAAATTTGGGCGTACTTCTTACGCGATATATTGTAGTGAGAGCGCGTGGATTGTACAGGACCGAACGCTCAAGGTCGTTCGCTAGTAGTTATTTTTTGAAGTGTAACCTTATTTAGAATGGTTATAATTAGAAAACAAGATGAAACGAAAAAGCGACACCAAAAAGAGACAAACATATACATCTATAGGATTTACACTGCGATGGAATGAAATAGACTTTAAATTAGTCGTGTTTAGGCTATCTAGCGTCTATTTTACGTTCCACCTTGAGAGTCAATCAATTTTCGTTCAATACAATGACTTTACCTATAGAATGAAGTAGATGGCGCTATTACAAAGCAATTTTACTCGCAAGAAAATATTATTTTTAAATGTTACACTAAATTTAGGCTCTACGTGTCTAAAAATATAGATTGTAACTAGGCAAAAACGTTGTTGCCCATAAATCACATTCAATTTGAGATAACTTCAAATAAAAGTAGAAGCCTTATTTAATCGTATTTTCAAAAACTGTAATAATGGTATATCATTATTTAGATATTTGAACTTAAGTTTAAAATTTGGCTATTCTTTGAAAAATAACCCCGTATTATATATATTTTACATTTCTTTTGAATGTTTCACTTCTATCGCCTGTACACACATATACACTTACACTTTTTTATTTTTAGTTTCTTAATGTCATATTTTTTAAAGTTTTATTATTTGACTATTTTGATCAAAGGCTCAGGGTAACAACTAGATGCCGGGGCTGCGGGCTATTCGAAAGAGATACCGCGGCTCCGGAACGTAAGGCCACTGAAGGAACACGGATGGTTTTTAGTCAGTAAAAGTCTGACACTCCCTTACGCTCCACCCAGAGCGAAAGGGGTCATTAGATGATTTTCCATCCGCAAAAAAAAAAAAAAAAAAAGGGTAACAACTAGAGGTCGTTTAAAGCCGCTATTTATCGATCCTTACGAGTAGAAATGCCACTTCACTTGAGGTAAAGACTATTTATTAGAAAAAAATTATTTAAATCAGTTACGTCGGTTCAGAGATATTGGTGGACATACTTAAAAAAACATGTGTCGAATATAGAATCTTCCTTGTTTCTAAGTCGGTTTAAATGCAGATACGTTGTCACGCCCGAGGATTAAGTTAAAATGCCTCGTTTCCAGTAAAAAGGGTCTCCGGTTCTCTACACTCACCATACGAAACACAGCAGCGTAGAGTTGCTATTTCACGCTGGTATTCTGTGAGAGCGTGGTCCTTCCCCGGTTGAGTCGACCCACTCGTGCTACAACCATAATATAGCTGCAGCGTGGCTCTACCATGTATTACCTTTTTTATACTCGTATATAATCTCTTTCAATCGTAAAATACTACAATACCCACGAGTGTCTAAAGGAAAAAAGGTTCTATATACGTAAAATATAAGGTTGCGTTTTGCTGTCATTAGTTTAAGGGTTGTCTATTCTCACGCTGACAAATTTTATTAACTACACAGAAGATATTGACCATTATTATGTTAATTATACCAGAAATAAAATTACAAAATTTGCGAATACATTTTATTTTACGTTACTTTAAACCTTATTACCTAACTTATAAGATAGTTTTTCGCCTGTTCAGCACACATTCTTTATCGAGCTTAAATGAACCACTGCTAGGTATACGATAATAGCTCTTAAAACGTAGGCGTTTAGTGCGTATTTCGCCGATACCAGAATCTCGCTCTGTAGTCATCGCTGCAAGTCAAGAAAGCCGGTGCCGTGCCGGAGTGAACAATATACCTGAAAAAAATATACAAAAAATTACTTCTAACATACTGTCCTCAAGACGGAATTTCGGTCAAGGAGACCAGTCTAAATGGAGACTAGCCATCGGCGCAGGACAGGATTATAGTGCCCAAGTGTATGCGCAAGCACAGGTGCACCCTCTATTCCCTCACTCTCATGGTCTGATGGGCCGGTAAACCGACACGACCGGAGAGAGATCAGGCGCAGGACCAACAGCTTTACGTGCTTTCCGAAGCACGGCGGTGAGACACCGCCAACTTCCTGACTCCGGGCAACTACTGAGAATTTCATGACAGAAAACTAAATAACTGATTTTGACCCCACCCTGGATTCGAAATCCATAATGACTGCCAAACCTGATGATGATTGATTGATGATGTGAAAAAAATAATCAACTTTCTCGAGTTCTCGCCGCTTCTTCTCACAAGGAATCCATCGACTTCCTGCATGTCTTACCAAGTCGTCACTCCATCTAGTGGACGGGATTTAGATAAGATAGGTTTTAAATTTAGATTAGATTTTAAATCGTAATAAATTCTTTGAAGTTATTACAATTGGATTTCATGGGTTTTATTTTTTTGCGTAAATATAGCCTAAGTTAGTTTTTTTTTTTAAAAACGGGGTAAACGAGCACGGTTCACCTGATGTTAAGTGACTACCGCCGCGAAATTTAAACCTGCAGTGAAACGCACACCGAGATCTTTAACCTCCGTAACTCTATGAAGCAGTTTCCCATCCATCACGTATTGGTGATGAATTGGAGCGCATGAGCGGCTAAAGGACAGCACTGAGCATTTAGAGACATTAAAGAAAAGTTTATTATTAATGCTTCATCTTAAAACTTTATCAATATCATGCTGTAAAAAGACACAATCAGATTTATCTCTAAATTCTAAAACTAATTTTAGATCATCGGCAAGAAGTAACGGAGTACTAAAATTTACTACGTTTGGCAAATCATTTATCATTGAAATGAACAGCAAAGGTCCTAGATTGCTGTTCCGACTAACACCAGATCTAGTAGGGTATGGTCGATGCACAACCGCGACATCAGGGGAATTGTATATGCGTTGCCGGCCTTTTAGAAAGAAGTAAACTCTTTTCTTGAAGGCACTTAGGTCGTATCGGTCCGGAAAAATAGCCGGTGGTAAACTATTCCACAGAGAGGTTGTACGTGGAAGAAAACTTCTTGTGAAACGTACAGTGGTGGACCGTCAAGCATCCAGACGGTGTGGATGGTATCGGGACGTTTGCCGCGTAGTGCGTTCACGAAATTTGGCGGCTGGGATTAATCCGAACAATTCCTCAGAGCACTCCCAATGGTATATGCGAAAGAAAATGCAAAGAGATGCAACATCTCTTCGCAGCGCCAGTGAATCGAGCCGATCGGAAAGCACTCGGTCGTTGACGAATCGAGCCGCTCTGCGCTAGATGCGGTCAAGTGGAAGCAGCTATTCTATATTTCTATATCGTTATACATTAGCATATCGGAATATAGTCGGAACAGACAGACAGACAAAAACATAAAAAATTGTATTTCTGTTATAAGTACCGTATTAACTTTTACATGCATTTAGTGAAAAGCTGTTATTTGACATTACAAACAGACATTTTAATCTTATTTATTTGCATGGGATAAATACATAAATACGGTCTGTACACACCTGACGGCTCCGTTGTGTCCCAGCGACATCAGTTGGCAACGACTGGCACTCCGCGAGTGCCAAGTGCAGAGCGAAGTTGTCGCCTCGTCTGGGAACATCACGTAATCCTCCGTGTGGTTTAGGATCGCTTGCGCGTGATGCTCCTGTCTCCCTGCAGAAGTGAAATTTTGCTATAACTTCAAACCTTGAACCTCGGTCATATCATATCATAATTATAAACACTCACGCCTGTCAACCATGGGGGTAGGCAGAGACTACGGACTTCTATTTGCCACAATCCTGACACATCTCTCTCATCTCCTTTACATCCATATACATATTGAATTTGGTATAATAATTGGATATAACAAACAAGACTTTTTTAGTTTCAACTTAATGAGCAAGTTTTTTTATTGTTCACACAGTACACAGTAAAAATTTTGTAGCATACAGCCTAGAATTAATTATAAAATTTTATCCAATAATACATACGCATACATGCTCGTCTGTTAAGGATACTCTTAATTTGGCCCATCTTCAATATTTAACCTCGGTTTTGTAAGAAAAACAGAAAACTTCTATTTACGCTTAGATAGGATCTATTAAAGGGATTGTGAAGTGCCGATACGTTTTTTTCAAAAATACTATCTATTTCACATCGCTCGCCGTCGTATAGCCGTCGCGTGATAGAAAGAATTGCAAATGTTGGAAATAATTGCCTATATTTTCTTTTTAAAATATTGTTTCGAGCGATAACGTTTTCTAAACACTAAACTAAACAAAAACTATGAAAATTAGACTATGTTTACTGGTAAATGTAATGTGTATAATTTTATGACAAATGAGCAAAATATTTTTTAACATAATTATAGATAGTAAAAAAATTATAATTATGGAGTAATTTGAAGCAGTGAAACAGTCTAGTGCAAAGTTTATTTTTACGATAAATGAACAAAAAAAATTTTAAATATAATTATAGGTAATAAAAAAATTATAGAGAGTTAATTTGAAGCAGTGAAACAGTCTAGTGCAAAGTTCATTTTTATTACTATCGAAATTGTCAATGTGCATATCAGAAACGGTAAACAGTTTTGCTTACCTGTAGTCCCAGCTCCAGTGTACTGTATGAGGCACCTACTGCTTGCAAGTTCCCAGAGCTTGATCGACGAGTCCAAGCCAGACGTCAAGAGGTACTGAAGGAAATCTATATATTAATATGTGAACAGAAAATATTTTACCCCTTTTTGAGCATATTGAACGCTCAGAGGGCAGTAAAATTTGATATAGTTAAGTTTATATGGAGAAGAACATAATACGTAAACACTCACGTCTGCCACCCAGAGGGATAGGCAGAGACTACAGACTTCCATTTGGCACGATCCTGACACACCTCTCTCGCCTCCTCCACATTCATATATCTACGCATACAAGCTCGTCGGTTAAGGGTAGTCCTAATTTGGCCCATTTTCAATATATCGCCAATTTGGTCGATAAACTTTCGCCTAGGACGTCCCTTTCTGACTCTTCCATTCATTTCTGCAACATAAATTTGCTTTGTCACTCTTTCCTCATTCATTCTTTCTACATGACCAAACCACCAAAGAATTCCTTTCTTAATCCTGGTCACAACATCACCTTGCAAACCGCACTGTTCTTTTATCGCACCACAATATCTCACCCTCTCACTCAGATTCAGCCCTAACATGGAGAAGTATATATAGTATATACTATGTAAGTATATATAATATGTACAAACACATTAAATTAAATAAAACATATTTTCTTTATTTTCACACTCAATATCAAACTCATAATAGCTCTATGGTGAAACAGTCACAGGGAGATTAGGATAGGCCAAAAAATTTTAAAATGTTGCCAACAAAATAATTAATGTCAATAATAATTTTGTAGTTACTACATTATTTATGAATATAAAATTTTTATTAATATTTAAATTACATAATATTTTTTGTCACAATTTTCTTAAGATTCAGCGAATTCCTTAAAATCTGGCAACACCGTAGTCAACGACAGTATCTTTTAACCATCTGTCTATCCATTACAGTCTATAAAAATCCACTATGAAACATAGGACCCTTTTAGGGTGGGATATTTGCCATTGTGGCGACGCTTTGCAAACAAGTTGACAACTGCATTTTTTTATTATTTAGTTGTTATTAGGAAGACTGTGGCATTCCTTGGGGGAGACCTATGTTCAGCAGTGGACTTGAAGGGTTGTGATGATGATGACGATATTAGGAAGGCACTGTTGCCCATCTCCTGGTCTACTTCCCCCGGGCTGATATTAGGTAGTGGATATTTATACACTGTCACTACATGGTAAACCGTATCCAGTTCCAAACCTTGCTATTCCTGGTGAAGGCAACGGAGCAAACTTCGGATCCGTCGTGCGCGTTTATAAATGTATTAAAGCAACGGTTGGAGACCGTGTCCCATAACTTCACGGTACCATCGGCACTGCCACTCGCGAAGTACTTGCCATTCGGTGAAAACCTGTGGCAAAAGATGATATTGAGATTATACGATTCAATAGCACAACATCGTATGAACAAGTGCTTAGTAACTTTGCTACATGACTATTTCTAATATTGAGTATTATTTTTTCAACCTCGTGCCTCTCAAAGCGCGTACAGCCGTTGGTCCTGCGCCTGATCTCTCCAGTCGTGTCGGCTTCCCGTCCCATCCCGAGTATGTGAGGCAATAGAGAGTGCACCTGTGCTTGCGCATACACTTGAGCACTATGATCCTGACCTGCGCAGATAGTTAGTCTTCATTGAGACTGGCCGCTGTGGCATTATTATTATTCCTAATACCTTTTATATACTTTATTACAATATAGAGGGGTTATTTTTTAAAGAGTAGCCAAATTTAAAACTTAAATATGCTTAGTGCAGTTTTGGAAAATACGAGTTACTAACTTCTACCTCTATTTGAAATTATTTATATAATCCAACAACGTTTTTGCCTACCGATCGACGCTTACGAATGTGTACATGCGCAGTAAAATCAATTAAAATAATGCATTACCACGCATTTTGAATATCTTTTAAGATAAAAAAGATTCTGAACCTTCTCTGCAAATTCACCGGTTATTACAATATAACCCTGTGTAAGAAAAATAATTAAATATTAATAAACTATTTTTATATAGATTAAAACTGAAAAGCGAACACACAGACCACATCATGGTACGTGG